GAGTAAAGCTTTAGTCTGCAGATACTGTTGTGTAAGATTAAGTTCCTCAAGTAGATGAGCCAAAAGGTAAAGCTAGCATGTAAAAGACCTTGTGCTGTATGACAATCGGTGTTAATGACGAACCATTTTTTAAATTTAAATAAATTTAAATCGATTATTAAAAGATATTGAATTGATATATATCATTTATAACTTTTCCATCATTTTTTTTTTTGAAAGCGTGATTAAAAAATTAATAATCTCCACTTCGCTGCGCCCACATTTCAGAATGTTACATTATCCATCAATTCATTTTAAATGAAAATAACTTGTTGCGTTTTTTTTTATCACTGGTCAAGAGCCAATTTTTTAACAATGGACTCAGATGATGTATTTGATAGTAATTTAGATGTGATTAGTCATAATTCTTCGGTTAGGTGTAGTAATACAGCTTCCAGTATTTCAATTAATATTAACGACGTAAAAAGTTCGTCCGTCTTGACAATATTTAGTTTCACACCGTACCGGACGGAAGTGTTAGACTATGAGGATACAGGTTGTTTGTTTGTTGTTGTTTTTTTTTTTTTATTTTTCATGTTCCATTTGGACATAAAGTGTTAGCTGTAGTCAAATTATAAATACACAAAGAATATAATTATAGTATAGCTTCCAAATTCTCAATGATCACACCCACTTTTAGTTTCAACACGTAAAAATTAAGCCATGCCGTAGTAATTTAAAGGAATATAAACCAATGCTGGGTATTGAATTATAATAAAAATAAAACTAGGTGACCCGCGGCGTAGTATACGCCGCGAGCTTTTTGGGGGGTGTGCGCATGGCTGGCAAGCGAAGGTGGTTATAGCCCGCCAAACATTGGAGACACCAATGCTTGAACTTCCCATCTACTAAAGTGACGTGACAAAAACGTGAACTCAAGTTACGCACATTTAAGAATGCCAATGTTGCTACACCCCCCCCACCCCCACACACACTTTTTTTTTTCATGATACTTCACGGCAAACTTTTTTTTCACGCCAACCCGCGTTTTAGCATACGCGGCGAGCTGGCTGGCACGCGAGGGTGGTGCAGGATTGGGGGGTCCCCCCCCACACACACACTTGTTTTTTTCATGATACTTCAGCGCAAACTTTTTTTTCACGCCAACCCGCGTTTTAGCATACGCGGCGAGCTGGCTGGCAAGCGAGGGTGGTGCAGGATTGGGGGGGCGGTAGCTCCACCGCAATGCGCATGTCTCGAGACCAACGATGGGGAGGCAAGGGAAGGGAGGGGAGGGTTTGTCTGCGTCTTGCTTGCTCTGGTGTATCTATATATAGCCTGCGTGGTCGTCTTGGTCTTGTTGTGCCCTAGTTTCTGGCGAATTATATAAATATGTACATTTAGCTATTTCATAGAAATGCAAAGAACACTTACTGCATTTCTGGTTAAGAATTACACACACGGATTTTTTAAAGTGATTTTACGACACAAAGTGGTCACTCCCGTGCTACTGTTATAGTGCTGATCAATGATAGCAATGAAACCATGCTGTTTCTAAATATAGATGGCCTTCAATATAAGATAAGATTCTTTTATTAATCCAAAACAAATGGAAATGCTTTGGGATTGTATTGTACATTTTCAGCACATAAATAAAACAATTTAAACACGAGACATCCACATTAAATTATTTCACTAGAGAAAAAAACAACTAAACACACAAAATCCAGTCATTCAGTGAATTCTCCTCGCCATATTAGGGACTTATTACTTCTCATCAAGACTTGTGACCTCATGGGGGGGGGGGGGGGGGAGCACGCTGAAGGCCAGACTTTCGGAGTCTTTGTTTTTCATGGATTACATCCAAAAGCCCCTCAAAGCCTGCAGCTTGTTAGCATTAGGTGGAATAAAAGTGGGTGAACTCCCTAAGTAGGTAAAACGGCTTTAAAGGGATGCAGAGTCGTTCTGTGGCCGGTGTACAAGCTACATGTTTTAATGTACTGTTGCTAATGCTACAATAGTTTTTGTTAACATAACATATTGCCAATCCCCATCCCTTGGATTTGCCGCCGTCGGCTGTTCTATCGGCAATTTGGAACAAACCAATATAGGAATTACACGTCTTGTTTTCCCAACGTTGAATTCTGATGTACCGCCTGGTTTCGATACGAGCGTCTTGTACAAACATATTTCTTTTATAAATCCATTGAACATCCGCATAACATTCTGTACGGCCGGACAACTTCGCAAACGAAATTAAACAGTGCAGTGTACGAGTAAACTAGTTTGGTGTCTTGATTTATTTATTTTTATTTTATTTTTTTTTGGGGGGGGGGGCGCTTATGGGTATTCGCCCCGGGCAGCATTTAGTCAAGGCACACTAGTGTTCTTTTCTCACAACACACTCCATTTCAAATTTCCATATTCTTCTCTTTGAATTCGAGTCAAACTTTGTCAAATTTTTCAAATTCTACGACTGAGAAATGTAAGTGATTTGTTGTTGGTGGTTTTCAATTTTTTAAAAAACAATATTTGGTCGCTTACTCACGTATGAAAAATATCTATATTATTGATACAAAATAAATAACTTGCTTCACCCCCCTCCGCCAGCACAGCACATAATTTATCAAGTGGCTCCAATAAGAAGGTCGATTCGAAGTTCCAAAAATGAAACTGGCAGATATGGCTCTTAAACTGATCAGGAGAGGTAAGATATGTATCATCTTCTTGTATATGGAGTTTGTGTACTGTTACGATTACTGCTGATAGGAGTTAAGCACGCCTAAGGGTAATGATTAAACAAATCAATGATCTATCTAACTTGCGGCTCTTTATTGAGAAACAGTGTTTCGTCTTTCATCCGCTTTCTCTCTCTCTCTCTCTCTCTCTCTCTCTCTCTCTCTCTCTCTCTCTCTCTCTCCCCCTCTCTCTCTCTCTCTCTCTCTCGCTCTCTCTCTCTCACTCTCTCTCTCTCTCTCTCTCTCTCTGCAACTCCATTACCACTACCAAGCCATAAATCCAACAACGCCCATCTCCCTAACTCAAATACGTTACAAGTTCATAGCAACAGATACAAAAATACTCTCACCATTTAAACACACAGCAACAAAAATGATGACATCATTAACATGTACATTTTCTTTGATTCCAAAAATCCAGATAGAACAGACCACCTAAGAGAGATGAATCTAGATTCTAGACGTTTAAAAAAGTGCATTTAGAAGGGTTCACGTCATGCAGGATGATGGGTCTAGATTTCAAATCTGCAGGTAGAAGTGCTCACATCGGGATGATGAGTCTAGATTTCAAATCTGTGGGTAGAAGTGCTCAGATCGGGATGATGGGTCTAGATTTCAAACTTGCGGGTGCAAGGGCCCACGCCAGGATGATGTGTCAAAAATTACATGCATAGAAGCTGTACTTTATTCAAATTATTTCTTTTTCTCGTTATTTTCAGGATCACAAGTGTCATCACACAAGGTAAATGTGTGTTCTTTAAGTACACCCCGTCAACCAGACCTACAAGACATCAGAAAAAGACTAGTGGGGAATCCATGTGGATCTGTGGATTTAATCAAAGATGATGAAACGGGAATAGCGGTTTTAACTCTAAACAATCCTGAAAAAAAGAATTCGATCACAAGTAAAAAAAAAGTTTTTTTTTTTTTTTTCAATTTTAAAATGAACTAAAAGCGTTTTATTATTCTTAATTTTAATAAAATTCTAAGAGTTGATGTTTTAACTCTAAACAATCCTGAAAAAAAAAATTCGATCACAAGTAAAAAAAAAGTTTTTTTTTTTTTTTTCAATTTTAAAATGAACTAAAAGCGTTTTATTATGCTTAATTTTCATAAAATTCTAAGAGTTGATGCAACAAGATCTGCACGAAAGATGAACAAAATTTAAAATTACAGTTTAATTTGATCAGGTCATTATGCTAGGTAAAATGTTATTAGTGGCTCGTCTTTTTTTAAAAATAGATTTTTGGTTTTACGTTAGTTTAAAAAAAAAAATGTAATTTATAAGTAACTGAGAACTTTGTGGTAGACACTTTTTTCTTTATAAGGATTTTTTAAAGGGGGAAAACGACCGGGGGGGGGGGAGGGTATTTTCTGCCAATTGCAGAAAATTTTCGTTGAAATTGATGTGGGGCAGAAAAAATCTTGGCCCACTTTATGCTGGAAATAACCTCTGGCTACTGCAGGGCGCGACGCTCCCGGACGGAAACAACCCTAGCGGCCCCAG